ATTATATAGTATTCAAATAAAAAATTACAGTAAAAAACATTACTATTAGTGTCTCTTAATATACTCTCCCTCACTTCCAAAACAATTATCCCATTGCTCTTGCAATCTTTGAAAGCAGTTCTGTATGTTCTCTTTCAGCATGTCTTTACCCAGTATGATAAAAAAGTATAGTGAATATTTCTCCCAGATGCCATCAAACTGAAAAGCAGGCTCGTAAAAGCATTATGGTGTGCCTTCATCCCAACTCATGCACTAAATGTGATATTGTGTCATTTCTGGCTCTTCCCCAAAGTCAAAATGACCACAAAGGTAAGCGTTTTCAATTGATTCGGGACATTTAGGTATCCTTGAGCACACGATCAAAGACATGAAAGACTTCCCAACTGCTTCAGAAAGTGGCCAGAACGATAGGACAAGTGTGCTTGAAGTGAAGGGGCACAGTTTAAGGGGGATTAGTGGCCGTGCATCTTTTACTATAATACATTTTTTAAACATTCACTGGATTCCTTTAATCACACCTTGTAGTCAAAGGATTGAAAAATAGTGCCCAGAATTTTTTTTTTTTTTTTTTGTTTTTGTTTTTGTTTTGCGGAACCAGGGATTGAACTGAATAATTTTTATGAATTAGAAGTATAGCATCTCTAAAGTTAGGGTAAAAGAGAAGCCTAACTCACCAAGATGTTACAGATATCATGGAGGTAAAGGTTTGACAATTACAGGGTACTGGTGGTGAGGCAAGTGGATCACTTTGAGTTGGAGGCCAGCCTGGGCTACAAAGTGATAGCAAGGCCAGCCTAAACTACATAGTGAGGCCTTGTCTAAAAAAAAAAAAAAGAAAATAAGAATGAGTGGGAGAGCAGAAAGCATAGGCAAAGGGTGTAGACTACTTTTCCAGAAGTTTTATAAAATAAACAGTTATGCTATATGCATATGTAATAAATTTATTAACATTATTTAATTAATTAATAATGCATTGTTTCCATATTTCTTGGATTTTATCTTTACACCATCCTGCTGATTACTTCTTTCTACCACTTTTATAGCAGTGTCCTTTCTCAAATCGGACACACCTGGAAGCGCCGAATGCTGTTTACTTTGGTAATGGCAATTAATTTCATTTCCTTATGTGTTTTGTGGCTCAGGTGATTCTCTGGAGGACGGGCCATAGACACCCCTGCTCCAACTCCTTCACCTGTTTTTCACAAAGATACAGAAACGCTCACTTCCCAGAGCAATTCAGCAAAGCATGAGGGTCAATAGGTTCTTAGCAAACCAATCAATTAACAGGCCTTCCCATCTTCTCTCCCCAGTCCCTTGGTGGGCAGATTTAGGAGAAAAAAAGGAGCTGTCACTTCACACTTTCTGGGATATGGTGTCCCCATTGGAGCATCTGTTTGGCTTCATGTCAGCTGAGACCTTTCCTTGCCAGCTCTGGTCACCCCAGCCCTTTCTCAGAGCGGGCAGGAGAATCATCAACATCGCCGTCCACCTGTGTACAGGAAGATGCCCACAGCCACACCAGCGATGACGAAACTGCCCACCAGGATGCCCAGGACCAGTGAAGTGTAGGAGCGGCCTGTTTGGCTCCCTGCAGAACATGCAGAGAGTCAGCTTAGGAATCTCACCAGAGTCTGTGGTTTGAGTCAAACCCCCTGGGATTTCTGCCCCCAAAGGAGAGCCGCCAGCCTACGCCCTGCTCCCAGCTCTTGGCCCTTGTAGTTCAAGGCCTCCGGGTCCGTCCTCTTGCCTGGAGCCCGCCCTTGCCCTCCCTCCCACACAGGCCCTGCCCAAAGCCCTGGTACCTTTGAAGTTCTTCATGGCGACATGTTTCTGCACATACTGCACGCAGGTGTCCTGTAGAAATTCCCGCATTTCGTACCGAGTACGATTGTAACTGTTGAGCTGCTTCAGCGTAAAAGCGACCAGTTTGGAGGGTGCCTGGGATTCTGACACCCACCGGGCATCCTCTGGCTGGAAACTCACAAAGGAGCTCCCATTCACATCCACTTCAAAGAAGACGCGGGCCTTGGAGTCCTCGGAGTCCTCCGGAGGCAGTTCGCAGCCCACCAAGCAGCGGATGCTGAAAGGAACTGAGGAGGGGTTCGGGGTCAGAGGCTGCATGGAGAAAGGGGGTCCCCCGGGGAAGAGGACAGATGGAGGCCTGAGGAGAAGGCTTGGGGCTGAGACAAGGTGGGTGGTGGAGGGTAGATTTATTGTGTAAAGAGGTGCAAGAGGCTGTAAGAAAAAGGGGGGCTCTGAGAGAGAAGGAAGAGCTGGGGCAATGAGGTGAGGGATTGAGGGTCTCTGAGGCTGTGAGGAGAGGTGGCTGGAGGGAGAGGGTTGTGTGAAGGAACCAGGGGGCTCTAGGAAGCAAAGGAGCTGGAAAGCTGTGAGGCAAGGCATTCAGAGTTTTCAGTGAACCTTGTGTCAGAGTGGGTCAGGGACGAGGCCTCTCCTAAGAGGTCAAGACAGCTAGAAGAGGGTTGATGGGAACTTGTTTCCTAGGCCATTCGCCTTTCTGCAACTTTGAGCTTGCACCCCCTATCTCTGACACCCACCCACTGTGTGGTGCCCCACGAAGCCTGCCCCGCCCCTTGCCCTGCCAGGCCCCGACTCACAGGTCACGCTGTCCCTCTGCTCCTTGCACACCACCTGCACGAAGGTGTGGAACTGCCGCAGGTAGATTTGCAGGTCTTTCTCTTGGTGTTCCCAGCTCTCGGGCTCTTCCATGGGCTGCAGCTGGAGGATGGTGAAGTTGTTGGGCTGGCCCTCCAGCCTGTGTGTCAGATGGCCCCCCAGGGATGCGTTGCCATAATACCTTGCATGGATGGGGTCATGGTAGTAGGCCATCTGCAGCATGTGGAAGTTCAGTGGGCCTGGGGCAGAGTCAGCGCGTCAGGACAGCTGGCTTAGGAGATCCCAGAGCTCCCAGAGCCCCCAGAGCCTACCGCCCACTACAACCCTAAAAAGTGCCTTCCCACCTCCCAGCGTCCTACTGGATGCTCACAATAACCTAGGGCAGGGGCTATTCTCTTTGTTTTATCAACGAGGAAACTGAGGCCTGCAGTGGGAAGGGGCACTCTTCCCTGTTATTTTTCATTTCTTCTCCCATTTATGGTTGGTCAGTAAGTCCTGAACTACAAAATCCCAGTTACATCTCCCCTCATCTCTCTGCCAGGGCTCTGGGTCTGGCCCTGTTAGTTCTCATCTGAACTAACAGTTCTTACCTCATCCCCTACCCTAATATCTCAGTTTCTCTCTTCCGATTGGACCACCACCTGAAACACGGATAAAATCTGGTTCCTCTGTTAAAGTCCTCCAGTGACATACTATTCCCCAACACAGTAAAAAATAATAGCTAAGGATTGGGATGTAGTTCAGTGGCACAGCATCCGCCTGGCGAGAGTGAGGTCCTGCGCTCTATTCCCAGTGCCAAAATAATGATGATAATAACAATAGCTACTACCCACTAAGTGCTTATTATGACCAGTATACTATGCTGTGACACATTATTATCCTATTAGTGCCGCCCCCCGTGGCTTGATGCAGTACCTACTATGATTAACCCCATGCTGCATGAGACACTGAGGCTGAGATCGGACAGCAGAGCCAAGGCTTGGGTGCAGGTAGATGAGTCCAGTGCCCCTAACCAGCCTGCAGAACTGCCTCCCTCGTGGCCGATCCACCTGACCACAGGATCGAGCCCAGAGGCTTTATCCTGGCATTCATGGCTGCTAGTGACCTGGGCCCAGCTGCATTTTCTGGCCTCTTTCCAGTGCTAAACTACTCGCGGTTCCTCGTGCCCACTTGTGCCGGACATAGGAATAGTGTGTGAGGGTTGCTGTCTCCCTGTTCTGCCTTCCAGCCTTTCTCTGCATGCCTCAAGCTCCAGCTGAGCTGCTCTCCCCTCGGACAGCTTTCCCAGTGTCTCCTCTTTGCTTTCCCAGCCATTTGCATCTGTGTGGGTGATCCCGGACCACTTCGCCTCAGCATGTGCTTTGTGAGATTCTGAGTGCCTAACTCTAAATACACTAAAGCAACACACAGGCTACACTGGACTCTTCCAGGCTCTGGGGCCAGGTCCGACACCCTCTGCCTCCGCACCCATAAAGGGCTAGCACAACAGTGGGACCCTAGATGATTTTTGAGTGATGTCAATTTGTGCATGAGTGTGTGTGTGTGTGTGTGTGTGCGTCTCTCTGTGTTGCATTTGAGAAACTGTGCTCTCTCTCTCCGCAGATGTGAGTAAATATATCTGAGAGGAGACCTTAGACATTTAGATGTGGTCCATAACTGCTCTATGACTCAGTTTCCTCCTCTGTAAAATGGGTATAATAACACTACACACATTGTAGGGTACTGTGGGGGCTAAATGAGTTATTGCATATGTTAAGTACAGTAAACACTCACCGAATACTGGTTATTATTTGCTCCTCTGAGGAGGAAATGAAAGCTACAGAGTTCGTGGAAGAGGGGAGTGAAGCCACCATGCAATTATAGTCCAGGGCATTAGCTCCCCTGTTCTGCCTCTGTGGGGTCACTTCAGGCACCCTGGTCCCCTCTGAGTTCCCCTGCTGGTCACAGCTTACCACCCCAGTTCTACCTCACCTGCTGCACCTGTTCATCCTCTGTCTGCCCTCACTTCTACCTTTCTGGTCCCAGCCCCCAGCCTTTCCTAAGTCTTCCGTCCCTTCTCAGTGCCCAGCTGGAGTTCATGCCACTCAGGGCAGTCCAATTTGCCACCCTCCAACATAGCTGTGTATGTTAACCTATTTAAAATGACGTACACAGAAAAACATTTGTATTTCAACGTACTCTGATCTTTGCAGTGTTAAAATGGAGTCAAGTGTTATAATAACAATAGAGTTTTCCTTTTGCTGATAATGTGCAGTTCCGGGACAGAGCGCTGCCCTGCTAGGTGCACCAAGGTCGTATTTCCCAGTTCCCTCCCGCTCTCTTTTCATCCTGAGTCTCTTGCCACCTTCCCTGGACCTACCCTGCTTCCCGCACCCCATCCTCAGCTCCCCTTCTCTAGAGCTGGTCTCTTCGCCCCTCTCTCCAATGCTGGTTCTCTCACCCCCTCTGCTGGTCCCTTTAAACATTTTTCCAGCCTGTTTCCTCCAGCGTCCGAGCAGCTCTTTCCCGATACTTTACTGAACTTCCCCTCCGTGGCTTTGGGACATAAACCAGTGCCCTGCTGCACTGCAGACAGATCCAGGCAGCTGTAGACACAGATGCCGTGCTGTTCGCTGCGCTCTGATCCTGTTCATGTATCCAGAGAGGCCGAGAGTCTACAGAACCATCCCCAGGCAGGCGGCCAGGAGACGGGGTCCCAAACTCACCCTCTGAGGCTTCCTGGCTGCAAAGGACACGGCCCGGCAGTAGCAGCAGCAGGGGCGGCAGCAAAAGCAGCAGTGTGGTCAACATCCTGGGCTGAAGTTCTTTTGATTCTTCCACCTGGGCTCTTGATTGGACAGGCTGGTGACTCTTCTGGCCGGAGGCAAAACTGCCTAGGAGAAGTGGAGGCCGAACCGAGGAGGATGGAAAGAGGCCAGGGAATGGCAGGAGGAAGAGGCTGTCAGGCTTTTAAAGTGTTATTCCTACTCTGCCTCATTTCCTACTGAGGGCCGACCTCCCTTTGCCCCGCCCAGCACTGGGCCCTCCTGCCCAGACCTGCCTTTTTCCCTCGCCCTGGGCTGCCTCTGAGGGATGAGAAATAGAGCGGAAAAGGGGGAGAAGGGCTGGAGGAGTCCCGCTGTCGCTGAGTCAGGGGGTGGGGCATCTCCTCTCCATTGAGGATACACTCTAGGGAATTAGAGATCTGCAGGTTACTGATGAGGAAACGGAGGTACAGAGAGGTGTAAGCACTTGCCCAGAGTTTATACATCACATGGTCACTGATCCAGGATTAGAGTGTAGTGGTCTAGGATCATTACATGCATTTGTCAGAATATTAAGCACATAGTGATTACACAATCAGGGAACTTTCTCTGAGAAATTGTCCCAAAATGAACAGAAAGGAGTTCGCTGTTTGTAATAGGAGAGAATGATGAACAATACATAAACCTCGGAAGAGGTCTGGTTGCACAAAGCAATATTTTTCAAACTGAGATCATAATTCATTAGTGGACAATGAAAAAAAAAAGTAACAGGTCATAGTTAATATGTTTTTAAAAATAAAATGCAACAGAATGAAACATTTTAATCCATCACTCTTAGTAAGCATTATTTCATGAAATACTTGTTCACTTCCATATGGGTGTTTTGGGTTTGTGTGCATGTTTCTATGATGGGTATCAGTAGGAAATGTAGTTCCTACTCTGAGATATAAGGAGGGAAGTGGGAAAATCATTCCCTAAAACTATGAGACTTTATAGTGGACTACTGTGCAGTGGTAAAAAGCCCCATCCTAGGGGCAGGAAGATAGCTCAGTGAAATAAGTACTTGCCTGGCAAGCGCAAGGTCCTGAGTTTGATCCCTAGTACCCCCTAAAAAAGAAACTGCTTCACCCAACCCACACTTTGTGTTCATCATATTACTTAACTTAACCTGAAGTTATACTGCTTACCTACCTGCTCTGGTCTGACTATCCCTCCAGACAGTAAGTATGTGAGGAGAGAAGCTGCCCATGGGCTTTCACAGTGTGCCTCAAATCATGCATATTACGTAGTAAGTATCAGCTGGATGAATGACTGAGATGGTTATCATAGGCCTGTGTGTCCACAAGGAAGCAGAAGAGCATCGTGCACAGTTTAGAACCATTTGTCTATTGTCAGCCACACATGAAACAACCAAATACCTTTTTGTGTATGAGAGCAAATGAGTGTGGAGGGATGGATGTCAAATACAACCCAGTCTCTCTCCAGGGAGGGGCTTGGAATTCAGAGGTTACAGGTGTGCGTTTATGCCCACGTGGAGGGAGCGAGCAATGTTGGGAAAATCCTGATCACTCTGTTTTGTGAAAAGTTTTATCATTCAGTCTGTATTACCTAAATGTTTACATTTTACATCTAGAATCTATGTCTTGTTTAAGTACAAATAAAAATTTAAGAAATATGTTACCGTAGGAAGGATTTATTGTTTTTTAATCTGTTATTTATTTATTTATCTGGTACAGAATGTCACTATGCAGCTCAGACTCTTAGTGGTGGCTGGCATGACATGCCCAAGGTTTGGAGCAAGTGCAGTATGCGGTACTGGGGATCAAACCCAGGTCCTTGCGCTTGCCAGTCAGGTGCTTAGGCTGCTGAGCTACCTCCCCAGGCCAATATGTTACCATAGAGTACTTGAAACTGGAAGAAGATGGCAGATCATGATGAGCAAATGAATTGATACGGAAGGCTCCAGGGAAATTGACAGTGCAGAAAGGAAATATACAATGATGTAATAATATTTAAAATGACTACTTCTGTTCAAGGACTACATTTACATTTTTATGCTCATATTGTCTTGTGTTAAAAAAAAACACCTGTATGTGCCTATCTTTATATTTTAGTATACATACAGCTGGCCGTAGTGGTACATGCCTGTATTCCCAGCCCTCAGGAGGCTGAGGAGGGAGGATCTCTATGAGTTTGAGGATAGCCTGGGCTACAAAGTGAGTTCAAGGCCAATCTGAACTGCAAAGGGAGACCTGCCTCAACAAAAAATCAAACAGAAAAAAAATCTCTGGAAGTATATTGACAATAGAGATTACCTCTGGGAAACAAAACAGCGTCATATGTTTTAATTTTTATTATATATATATATATATATATATATTTTTTTTTTTTTGAGACAGGGTCTCACTATGTAGTTCAGGCTGGTCTTGAACTCACTATGTAGCCCACACTGGCCTCGAACTCAAGGTGATTCTCCTGTCTCAGCTTCCTAAGTGCTGGAATTACAGGTGGAGAGCTACCATGCTCAATGTAGAATTCAATACTGATGGCAGGATTTTAACTTAGTTTTTTCTGGAAAGAGAGTTGTTATGGTAAAATTCAGGGAAAAAAGAGACAAAAACTCTGGATATATATCAGGCTTCATTCTCTACACTGAATATTTTTAATATTCTTGGTTATTTCTTGGTTATTACAAGCTAGTTCAGCAATAGCACCAGCCAGTGTGGTGGTACATGCCTATGATCCTAGCACTCTCGAGGCTGAAGCAGGAGGATTACCTTGAGTATGAGGCCAGCCTGGGCTACATAGTGAGTTCAAGTTCAACCGGAACTATGTAGCAAGACTTTGGTTTTAAAATTAAAAAAAAATCAAAGTGTTTAGTGGTAGAGGGGTTGTTAGTTAAGTAGTTTGTTGATCCAGGGTCTTGCTATATAGTTCAGACTGGCCTTGAATTCATTAGGTAGCCCAGGGTGGCCTTGAACTAGCAGAGATCCTCCTGACTCAGCCTCCTGCATGCTGGGACTGCAGGCCTGCACCACCACATCTGGCACCACATTTTTTTCTCTTTGAAACTCACCAAAATGATCCAATGGGAAGAAGCAGGGCCCTTCTTTTCCTGAATCAGGACTCAAGAAGAATGCAATGATTTAAATCATGATCATTTACATTGTTTTGACTTTTATAAAAATTATTATGAAATATTTCATATTTGAAGTATTATTATTTCATGCCTGAAGAATTATATTACAGACACACCTATTCCCACCACCCAGCATAAGGAATAAAATATTGTGCAATGTGCTTGATGCCCTCGTGGATGCCTCTCCAGCCTCGTTTCTTCTCCCTGCCATAGCTCCTGAGTTAATTTGCCGAGTGAGAATTTACTGTTTTCCACTTCCCTGAATTTCTCTCTGCTTACACTACAGAAGCATGTATTTCTAAACAATATGCAGTAATGTTTTCTACTTTATTTAAATGGTATTAAAATGCATGCATTCCTCTGCAACTTATTTTCTTCACTTTATCCTAGTAACACGATCCATCCATGGTTCTATGTAAATATTTCATCTTAGGAATCATTAGCAATTTACTTACCAACCTCTTGTTGGACATGCAGCCCTTTTTTTTTTCTCTTCATTTCTCACTTATTATGAACTCTACTGGTGTGAACAGTGTCATACAGTTTCTTGGGGGAGAGCTTTTCGTAGCTGCAAACTGGGAGTGGACTTGGTGAGTCACAGGACACAGGCAGCTTCGATTTCAGCAGACCCTGCCAGAGAGTCTCAAGAAGGGGTTGTGCCAACTCACATTCCCAGCTGTGTATGAGGGTTCCCTTGGTTCATGTCCTTGCCAGCCCGGGGCAGTCAGATGGATGGATGTACACTAGCACTTCATTGTGGTTTTACTTTGCATTTCTCTGACTCCTAATAAGCTTATGCATCTTTGTGTTTTGCTTTTTTTTTTTTTTTAATCTCCTGAAGGCATAAAGAGTGTTTCAGGATGAAGATTTTGGAGTAGAGCTCTGTGAGTCTAGTCTGAGCAGGGAGGGCCTGGACCAGTGGGGTTAAAGTGGATCCACAGTTTCCACAGCACTAATGACATAGATGACACAGTGGCTACCAAGCTCAGCTCATCATGGATAGTGAAATAACAGAAATTGTTTTTATTGGTGATAGTTACTGTAGGCCATGAACAACATTTAGTGTTTTACATAAATATCTGACTTTGTCCTATCCTGGCCCTATGACATGGGATTCATTGGCATCACCATTTGACTAACTGAGGCTCAGAGAGTTTAAATGACTTACCTTTCTTTTTTTAATTATTTATTTGTGTGTGTGTGTGTGTGTGTGTGTGTGTGTGTGTGGCCAGCTCAGCCCACCAGGGGGCGGGGCTGGCTGGCATGTGGTGCTGGGGGATTGAACCGCGGTCCCTGTGCTTGGCTTAGCTTAGCTTGTTCTAAGTAGGTGCTTTAGACCACTGAGCCATCTCACCAGCCCATGACTTACCTTTCTAAAAGTCATACAGCAATAGTTATCATTTGAAGCTCTGTCAAAGTTTGTGAGTTTGCCAAAGTTTGTGAGTTTGATTGCAGATAGTATGTCAGAATTGTATTTGAAGCGAGGCAGGGTGGCACTTGTCATCTTAACATTTAGGAGGCTGAGACAAGACTATCTCTGCAAGTGTGAGGCCAGCTTGGACTACACAGTGAGTTCAAGGTCATAGTGAGTTTAGGCTACATTGTGAGAACCTGTCTCAAAAAAAGTAGACAAATTTTTATTTGATCTTTCTCCATCAATACATGTTTAAGTACTTATCTCCAATTCACTGTGTACATTGTAAAACATGCCCAAAGATCATACTGTGTTAGGCCTGTAATCATTTCTCAGGCAGGCCAACCTCATTGTCCCCGTGTTATAGGTAGGATAATTAAAGCTCAGAAAAATCTAAGTCATGGCCCAAGGCGATACACCTTGGGAAGAGCAGAACAGGGATTTGAACTTGAAGATGCTGAGGGAATGGAGTTAGGTACAGGGACAGGGGAAACTATTTGGGATGGAAAAGCTGGTGAATGTGGACAACTTGAGAAGTTTTCAATTCTAAAGCGTGGATTGGAGATGGGAAGGCAAGGGAAATGCTGAGATTGGAGCCAGGGTCCACATTGCATCTGGTCAGGGCAGCAGAGGGGCAGAAAGCCACAGAACAGAGTGGGCACCAGGCCAGCCACTGGGGTTTGACTGAGGCCTGAAGAATGAGGGTCCTCATGGGCAAAAGAAAGCAGAGGAAGCAAGTGGGAACATTTCCACTTCAGAAAGCACCTGCAGGGGAAA